AGTATTTTTATGTATTGTATCATTTAATCCTAGTAAGTATCCTTTGGGGCACAGGTACTATTTATTACCATCCATATTATTGTCAGAATCAAGTTTGTCGTAGGGTCCAGCAGTAGAGTTCAGTGTCTAAAAAACATCTAATCATTTATTCAATCATTCAGAAAATACTGGCTGAGCACCTACCATGTGCCAAGCAGATCTGTTCACTGTGTCTAGAAAACCAGAGGGGGCATTATGACCCTGAGGAGCCACCTCAAAGGAGAATCCTGGTAGAGGACCAGAGTCTTCTGAGAAACAGTTTAGGTATCTTTGCCAAGGTAGGGCTTCAATAACCTGGCTAGTGTCCTGTGTGCCTTTAGGGAAGCACGTGGGGCAGCAGACTCTGGAATGGGCCTACCTGAGTTTGTCTTGGCTCTTCCACTTTCCTAATTGTGTGGCCTTGGGCAGGGATCTGCACCTCTCTGAGCCTGTTTACTCATCTAAAATGTGGGTCACGAGACAGTCACTGTGAGGATTTAAGTAGCACTGTAAAAACACCATCCCATGGACTTAAGAAGTGCTTTAAAAACATTAGCTTTTATAAGCTAATGGAGGCTTTAGAAAAGTGTAATAAAACACCCATCAGTTTTGGGGCATGGTAGCTCTCTGATGACTTTCCTAGATAATTTTGTTGAATAAACTAAACTATTTGACTTAATGAATTGCTGGTTCTCAGTTATTTGGACATTGAGAAATTGCTACCAAAGATGACCCAAACTTTTAGAGTGCCTGATCGTAAGCCATTTTCCCAGCCATAAGTTAATAAGAGTAAATGTGAGCAAAACTGATGCTTAGTATGTGTCATGGTCACCATCCACCCCAAGACGTGTGCTGCTTAGTTGTCAGCAAACTTCTGTAAGGATTAGGCTCTTCTTTTAATTCGAACTGTTTTGTGGATTCCGTAAACACTGAAAACAAGTTACATTTATAAGTATAAACATAAACAGTGATATATGTGTATAAGTACTTTTTAAAAAATATGTTTTTATTGATTTCAGAGAGGAAGGGAGAGGGAGAGAGAAATAGAAACATCAATGATGAGAAAGGGACATTGATTGGCTGCCTCCTGCATGCCCCTGCTGGGAATCAAGCCTGAAACCAGGGCATGTACCCTGACCTGGAATCAAACCACAATCTCCTGGATTATAGGTTGGTGCTCAACTACTGAGCCACACTGGCTGGGCATGTACGAGTACTTTTCATTCAGACTATAAACAATGTTTGGGGCCTTAATGGATCTGTGGACCTCTTACAGGAACTCCATGGCCGCAAGTGTCCAAGATCCACAAATGGAAATATGCAAGCTTTATCCCAGTGTGGTTGCAAATCATGAAGCTAGAGCTGATGTTTATGGAGCATCTGTTACATGCTGGACATTGTCATAGGTGCTTAACTAACATAATCTTATCTAATCCTGTTTGTCAGCTCTGAAGTTGGAGCTATGACGGTCCCCACATTACAGATGAGGCAAAGGTAAGACTTGCCCAGGTCATCAGTGGTGGAGCCAGGATTTGAGACACTGATTTTGGTGCACGCTTATGGAGACCCAAATTCATCCTGGTTTATATTTGCTTTGGACTGAATGTTTTTGTCCCTCCAAAATAGAATTAAGACAGAAACCTTGAGCAAAGTTGAAATTTATCCTGTTGGTTGCAGTCACTGAAAACTGCCTACATAGGAGAGAACTAAATTAGCCAGGGCAAGGTCACTACCTAGACTTGTTAACTTCTGTACATGCAGCTTTGAGGAGAAGATAAGAGATGGAAGGGACCCACAGCTAACCAGGAGGCATTTTGAAATGGGAAGGTATGGGGCAGCTTTCAAAATGCTGGGGTCCCCACACCTGTCTGCCCCTCTAGACAGAGCCTAGCATGTCCTGTGACCAGATCGTGGCCATCCAGTCCTATAGAACCTGCTGCCCCTCGGCCTGTACATCAGCCTCTTCTGTTTTCCTCCTGCTCCCGCTCCTACTTTTGTCCATGCTCTCTTCTTCCTTCCCTGATACATACCCATCTGTGACTTGTTCAAATGATCCCTTTCCATGCCCTCCTGAAGCAGACCGAATGGCAGGCCGCTTGTGTTGGACTTGAGCACCAGTCTTCTAAACAGCTCCACACCTTGGTAGTCCCAGCAGCACGCCCATAACCAGAGGTGGTTCGTTCTAAGATCCTGACTTTCCTGAAAAGTAGCCTGGCGTTGTAAGGAGAAACTGAGGCACATATGGGCCTGCTTTCTTCAAGTCCCACCACAAGGCTGTGGGGGTCTAGGGAAGTTCAGGAATCTGGCATCTGCCCTTAAAAGATGCCTCCCACTCAGGGAGGTGGGAATCTCCAGAAATCAGTCATGGGCAACTTAGTGTCTTGTTCTGCCTGGTGTACTCACAATAAAAACTGGATATGGGGTGTAGGAGTGCAGGGAATGAAGCATGAGAATGGAGTAGGCGTGAAAGAAAACAAAGCAGCCAACGGGAGAGTGGAGTAAGGCACCAGGTGTGGGGATGCCAGAGCTGACAGACTCAGGATTCGCCTAGTAGGTCTGGCATTGATGATGTTCAAGAGCACTCACCATGTGCTAGGCACACAACCCTCATCAAGGCCCTTTACCTGCTCACCCTTGGGGTGCCTGTACCCCACCCCTCCCCCAGGCTCCATCGGGGAAACCAGGGAACATCTAAGTTAACTTTTGTTCATGTGCCTGCTTGGCACAAACTGGATCCCAATAAATATTTGTTGATTAACAAATGAAAAAAATAAGCAATTGATAACCAAGATGTCCCAAGCAAGTAACTTTCTGGGTTGTCATTTCCCAGTCTCTAAAATTAAGGGTTGATGTGGTCCAGCGCTTAGAGCATCCTCTCATGCACCAAAGGGTCTAGGATTTGATTGCCGGTCAGGACACATACCCAGGTTTCGAGTTCCATCCCGGGTTGGGGCATGTATGGGAGGCAACCCATCGATGTTTCTCTCCCCCGCCCCCCCTTTCTCTCTCTCATCAATGGAAAAAAAAAAAAAAATCCTTGCTCCGCTGGGCGTGGCTCAGCGGTTGAGCATTGACCTAGGACCCAGGAGATCCCGGTTCGATNAAAAAAAAAAAAAAAAAAAATCCTTGCTCCGCTGGGCGTGGCTCAGCGGTTGAGCATTGACCTAGGACCCAGGAGATCCCGGTTCGATTCCCGGTCAGGGCACATGCCCGGGTTGTGGGCTCGATCAATGACTCTCATCATTGATGTTTCTCTCTCTCTTCCTCTCCCTTCCTCTCTCTGAAGTCAATAAAGATATATTTAAAAAAAAAAAAATCCTCGGGTGGTGAGGATTTTAAAAAATTAAATTAAATTGAACTAAGACGTCTGGGTACCAACCTCATTGAACTCTGTGCTTTTCTCGTCTGTAAAATAGGGGTAACAGTACCTACCTCCTAGGGTTGTTGCAAAGATGAGCCGGGTTAAGAACAGGAAAGCCCTTAGCCTAGAGCCTGGTGCGTACAAAGTGCTATGTAAGTCAAAAAGGAACTTTCCAAGGTCTCCTCCGCCGTGGACTTT